CAGAGTTAGAACAGATAACTTAAAATTAAAAAGTACTTCAACGTAAAAAGAGCGCTCATAGGCTTCAAAATAAACAAAAGTGCAGATTTATTTTATATCTCCCCCTCCTCCCCATCTCTCTCCCTCCCCCTTTCCCTGTGTCTCTCCCCATCTCTCTCCCCCCCTTCCCTGTGTCTCTCCCCCTCCTCCCCTCCCCCTTTCCTGTGTCTCTCCCATCTCTCTCCCCTTTCCCTGTGTCTCTCCCCTCCTCCCCATCTCTCTCCCCCCGCTTTCCCTGTGTCTCTCCCCTCCTCCCCATCTCTCTCCCTCCCCCCTGTGTCCCTGTGTCTCTCCCCATCTCTCTCCCCCCCCCTTCCTGTGTCTCTCCCCCACTCCTCCCCATCTCTCTCCCCCTTTCCTGTGTCTCTCCCCCCTCCTCCCCATCTCTCTCCCTCCCACTTTCCCTGTGTCTCTCCCCATCTCTCTCCCTCCCTCATTTCCCTGTGTCTCTCCCTCCTCCCTCTATTCCCCTCTCCCCCCCCCTTTACCTGGAGAAGTCAGGGGGCCGGCCGCGTTCCTGTGGGTGGCAGCTTCCCCGGTCCGGCGGCCCTGCTCCTCTCACTGCTGTGGCTGATGGAGGAGGAGCATGTCTCTGTACCATGCTCGGAGCATGGTACAGAGACATGCTCCTCCTCCATCAGCCACAGCAGTGAGCAGGGGAGGGCTGGCAGCCTTAGGCCTGGGGGGCAAAACCAGTCAAGTGGCCCATTGCACCACCAAATCAGTTCACCATCCATGCCCACCTTTACCTGGTTTTATAACGGATATTGATGTTATGCTAATCAGTAGCTCTTTGCCATACTCGCTCCTTCACGGCTCCAGGCACTGCTTGTTGTGAGTGTGAGCCACTGTAAATTAAGGGCAGAGGGCACTTGCACTGCGGTAAAGATGGGGCTGGGCAGGAGGAGAGTGCAGTGCAATCAGTGCACTCCCCTCCTGTGGGTCACCAGTAGACTGGTGCACCTGTCCAGGATCAGAGCCGGTGCAAGGATTTTTGCCGCTCTAGACAAAATAAAAATTTGCTGCCCCCCCCATGTGACATCACAATGCCCCACCCATATGAACTAACGCCAGTGCTGCACACAGTGTGTGTTTACATTAAAAAGCCTGCAGTGACCAGCTATAGACACCAGAACCACTTCATTAAGCTATAGTGTCCCTTTAATGTGAGGTACATTATAGATTAGTGTCACTAATAATATACTAGATTGCCTATTTACAAGCAGATGAGGATGATGATGATGGGCTGCAGTTTGGCTCCACTGGTCTGGTGTAGAACAGGATTCTGGAGGCTGTTTGCAACTGTGGTCACAAAATTCAATGTTCTGGGAGAAT